ATATTTAATATATATATTATATATATAATATTATATATAATATATTATTATAATAATATATATAGCACTCTATTCAATATAATTCTTGCATAGAGTATATTCAGGCACAAGCTTAGGGTCTGTTTTGCCTCATGTTCATCTTCATTTTGCACAAGCTGGGAATTATTTGTGGTAATGTGGTGTCTCAATGAAATGTTTACAAAGCTTTAGTGTGATGGGCAGCTTGGTCTTGTTGAGATCATAGTATCAAGTGAATACTTAAAACGAAAGTTAATTATAAATCAAATATGATCAATCATATTCTTGTGTAAACCCATAATGAAAATGCTTCTTGATGGTTTTTGAATATGTATGTATGCTTACAATTTTATCTGTTGCTGTTTGATAACTTTGCGTTTTAAAAAGAGGGTGTTGAGATCTTCATAGTATGTTGAATACTTAAAACGAAAGTTAGTTATAATCAATTATATTCTTGTACAACCCACAATGAAAATGCTTCATATTTTAGGTTTTTCTATATTTACAGTATAAACAAAACCAAGTGGTTTGTTAAGTTGAGTGTAAGACCTATAATGATTTATGGGTGTCAGTGATAAGAGAGTAGGCAGTTTCTTCCCTCTCCTCTCACAGCAGTACACAGGGAGGGGGGCTCCGGACTTAAGGATAAATACATTGAGGCATCAAAAAGGAGGTTATGTCATAGCCATAGAATATGTCTGGTCATGTCCTTTTTTACACAAACATGGGAAGGTGTGTCTTATGCCATAGCCAATAGAATATGTCCAGTCTTGTACAATCAAAGGAATTATTTCTACACCTTTTTAAAAATATCAATACATTTAGTAAATAATATTGATGCATTATTTAGTGGGAATGCTGATGACAGCATTCCCACTAAATGTTGTTCTACGCACGAAAAGTTTATTCTGCCGGAATTTTGCAGCTCTTCTCCTCTTGCACTGAACATCGCAGACACTCTGTTCAAACATCGAAACGTTCAGCTCAGTCGGGAATCGATGGCTATTACTTTTCTCATTCATAACTTTCATAATTCCAGAGATACATCCCATAATTCATCACATTTTTAACATTGAAGTCAATGGAGAAACTCTTCAGACTTGAAAAATCTTCATGCGACTTCAAATGCTAACTGTTCCTTCATACTTTCACTCAGAAACCTCATTCCAACTTTAAAATGTTACACATCTTTCTGACATTATTCGTGTAAAACAACTTTTAAATCTGATTCTTACTTTTAGAGATATTAAACATTGTTCAGACCTTGTTAAAGAGGTTTTCTTCAAATTTTAACATTAAGAGTGAGTGGAGGACAGCTTGAAATGTGCCTTCATATTTTCTTTTAAAACTGCCATAATTCCCAAACCCTACATTCCAGAGACATAATTTCTCATGACAAACGTAGGAAAACATCTCGTAGCTTGAAAAATGACAAATTAAGCAAAAATAATTAAACAAAATGCCTCTTGAGGGCATGAAGTGACAACAACGTTCAACATGCCTTCATTGAAGCCCATTGTAATTTCAGGCTGATATTTCCTTACGGCAGCAGCCGCACACCTTTAGTTAAACTGCCAAAAAGGCCACATTATTAACCCGAAACTACACAAAAATTACACTTCAGATACTCAACTTCCTTGACATGCTTCACGTTTTGAAATTTCACAGATATCTGTTACGGTTCTTCCACAAAACGTTCACATGTAAGAGGTTCATCTCTCATTCAGAACAATGGAAACCTGTGATCTCTACAGAGCTCGTTAGCTCAACTATAAACACCTGTGCAATGGAACACGATGCTGACGTGCTCAGAGCAGCAGCCTCCAGGTAGCAGTGTGCTGACAGTCCAGCCGTGAAGACATCTACGGGACAGTTTGGAGATTTCTTCAAATGCCGTTGCCATGGCAACATAATGCTCGCCTTGAAACACGGTTTTCTCATAACTTCAGTGAAAATACTCCAAACAGCGCAGAACTTCACAGGTTTGGTAACGATGCAGCCATCAACGCATCTAAGCGTAGTATGGGGTGTCATTAAATGCCGTTGCCATGGCGACAGACCACTCGCCATGAAACACGATGTGGCTGTAAGTCCAATCGACACGGTCCAATCGTCCCCCAATCTTCACTTGTATATCACCGGTCCATGCCTCAACAGCTCTATGCCAAATCTGAGATCTCACCATATGCCGTTTCCATGGAAACGCATCCCTCGCCATAAAACATGATGTTGCTATAACTCCTATGAAAATTGTCAAAAAGTGCTCAAACTTCACGTGTGCCAACAGTCCAGCCGTGAAGACATCTACGGGACAGTTTTGAGATTTCTTCAAATGCCGTTGCCATGGCAACATAATGCTCGCCTTGAAACACGGTTTTCTCATAACTTCAGTGAAAATACTCCAAACAGCGCAGAACTTCACAGGTTTGGTAACGATGCAGCCATCAACGCATCTAAGCGTATTATGGGGTGTCATTAAATGCCGTTGCCAAGGAGACAGATCATTCGCCATCAAGTTAGTTCAGAAGTTTGCAGTTCAAATATTCTGCTGCTTTTCCAAGCCTTTTTACTTTATTTTCTTCTCTCATCACACATTCAAGCCCCCTGTGTTCATGTATCATCATCTAAGTTATAGAAAAGTGCTGAATGTTTCAAATGTAGCTTAGTAGTCATTTAGCATTCAGGGTACAAGGCTTTGCTGGTGCGACATTAAGAAAGTCAAAAGAGTCAGTCTGGATTGCAGAGGTTTTTTACACGAGGCACATCATTTCTCTTTATTCTGAGAAACATCATCTAATTTTAAAGATTATTTTGTTAAACCTATTCAGCAATTGTTGGTCAGCAAGATCTCCTAAATCAGAGCTGCGGTCTGTTCCTATTCAGTGTCATAGAAAGGCCTTGTGGCAGTCATTTGACTATTCCCCTGTACATTATGCCCACACATCAAAACACATCTCTGCTCACTCTTATCAGAGCATTCGTATTGTACTATCTTCCTGATTCTATTGTATATAGTTTATATTTGTGTTCAAGTGCCATGTTTTGAGCTTTATAAAGTGTGTGGTTTGGAGCTACATGCTGTAATGTAAAAGTACCTGTTGTGCATTGTGGCCACTGGAGGGCAGCAGAGGAGCAAGTCAGTGCGACGATCAGTTGAGAATGAAAAGAAACACGAGACACAAAGCAACAAGTCTCCCTGCCTGAAATGAATACATTATGTTTTATACGATATATCCACACAAGCTTATGGTCTGTTTTGCCTAATGTTCATCTTCATTTTGCACAAGCTGGGAATTATTATGTGGTGTCTCAATGAAATGTTTACAAAGCTTTAGTGTGACGGGCAGCTTGGTCTTCACGTGCTAGGAAGCGTTTTAAAAACAGACCATTATCCCTCCCGACCAACGTCTTCTGGAGATTGTAAAGAACATTTGTTTTGGTCTGGCAATGTTTAGCACTGCCAACATTTGATTTAATATCATTTACTCCTTGTCAAAAATGTAGAGAAGGTTTAGTGCGACATCTCCAGGTGAGCAGGTAGTCTGTTTCTGCTTAAGGTGTGGTTGTGTTTAGTGTTGTCAAGTTCAGTTGACCAATCATATATTAGGCCAACAGTGAAAACACCCTCTCTGATGCATATGTGGTAACTGTGGCTGGGGTCCCCTTTAAAGAGCTGACAACACCAACTCCTGCTGAGGGGATGGAGGAACCTGTGGACCCTCAATCTAAATCCAAAGTTGTTTTGCAGATGTTGGGGCTTCCCTTCACGAGGACAATAACAGAGGCATTCATGAGCAAATAGAAAGCAGCTTTATTTCACAAGTATACATGTTCAAATGTCAATGTTCAGCAGCTGCCAACGGGTAAAAGGGTGAACATACTTTACACCATTACATGGTGGGTTTCCCCTCCTCAGATGGGCAGGTCTGGTCCACTAGGTCACAATGCCTGCTAACTGTGAGTGACACAAACAGAACTACTCAAAAAAACTCAAAGCACAACTTCTACCAAATGATTACAGTGAGAGTTAGTTTCCTCACCCTTTGAAAGTGTCACACCGTGCAGTCCCTACACTGAAAGCAGACAAAGTTCCCCCAGAGGGAGAGGAGAGGAACCTGCAACACAAACACTTAGTCAATTATATTGCCCACAATCTGCACACAAGAAAACTATTGACAGAAACTAAAACTAAAAAAGCACTAGAGGACAGTAGTCTTTAAAAAAAAAAAACGCAACATAATAGTTGCCAGCTCCAACACCAATTCAATATAACATTAAAAGAAGGTTAAAATCCAGGCTTTCTTTGACAGAGTAATAGATCCTCCTGGCTCCATCCAGGAGGGGGGAAACGCTCATACTCAGCTCTATGGATTAAACACAAAAACAGATGTTATAAAGAATAATAAAAGCTAGAAGAAAGTGAACAAATGTCCATAGCCAGTTTCCCGGGTTGCTCGGCTGGTTATGAGCACTGCTACACTCTGCAAAACACGTACAAGTTGCTTAAAAACGATTACAACTTTGAGTAAAGCACCATATTAAAAACACATTGCTTGTAACAGATCAGGTCTTGTGCTTTGAATGTCTGAAGAGTTTCCCTCCATGATGGAAAAACGTATCTTGCCCTCGCCCTAATCAAATCCAAACTGAGACACTTCCATAGGTTCATTGAAAAGACCATAAAAACTTGTGATGTTAGGTATTGTGCCGAGGCTTCGGAGCGTGTGTCGAGTAATCCCCGAAGCTTTTTGTGAAGCATGTATCGAGGCTTGTATCGTTTTGGGCCAGTGACGTCATCGATGACAAACGAAGCCTCGCTGCCTGTCGATACCACGTGACTGCTTCTCTAAGCGATTCAGATCGGTTGAACCGTTGAACCATAACGCTCATAAGACCCATGGATGTATTCTTTCACACACAGTGACGTCACGAGCTACCCACAATGCAATACGCGCCATATATATATAAATACGCCATTTTCATGGAGGTGCAAATGTCCTGGAAGTGCAAATATAAACAGCTAGCTAACGTAGCAAGGCAGAGCGCACTAGGTTTTTTTTCTGAATTAACGACCAAAGAAATCGCTGCATGTCTTCGGATTACATCTCTGGACTTGAGGGGTGTGCTCTAGGTCGTTACCAGCGTAAACTAGAGCTGTGTGGGTTGTCGGATTGCCCTTACCTGCAGATGTATAAAAACGACCCTCGAAAGTGGCCTTCGTCGATTTTGGCTGCATCTACGTCTATCTTCTGGAAACACCAGGTGAATACCCCACTTGTCACAATAATATTATCATGCCATTGCATATATGTAGTATTTTAGAGTTGACTAGATATTGATTAAGGCAATAGACTATGATATTCAGTACAGGAAGCTTAGCAACACCTAGACGGTGTACGGCTAAACCCTTGGCCTGCTTGCACCTCGCATAAAACGGCAGATACCGGAAGTACGGTGTCGCCCTCGGCCCAATACCCGTATGTGTGTGTGAAAGAATAATAAGAACCATATTACCCCTCCTGTACCCAGGACCGGTGACACGATGGAATCAAGAGAGCTCAGACCCTCACTTATATAGAGGTCGGAACATGTCATAAGTAAATAGATACAAGTATAAATACATGTAGGAATAAAAACATCAATAAATAAATACAGGAATAAATATCTTGCAGTGTTTTCAGGGAGCTGTGTGCTGTGGCTCAGCTGGAAAGCAGTTGACTCATGACCGCAGGGTCCCTGGTTCAACGACTGAACAATACGTATTTTTTGTTGTTTATAAAAGCTACAGCTAAATGAGATAATGTAGTTAATAAATGTATTCTTTGATATGGTTTAGCCTTTCTCAGGCTACAACATGGTTAAGTTTACGAATATTATTAAGGAATACAAATCCCTCTTTGCAATGTTTACCAGCCTCCTTAGGCTTTTCAATCACAATAATTAAACTGGAATAAATACAATATTGTTAACATGAAAATATGATTTTATGTTCGTTGTTCAGAGTTATTCTAAGGCTTTACTCAATGGGAACTCGGTATGAGATAGAGCACACTGTTGAGATGTCCAATCTGCCTGTTTTACACACTTTGACCAACAGGGGGTTTGTGTTCAGATGAAGCCCATGATGAAGCCTCATGAGATGAAGCCTTTTGCGAACCAATTGGCTGGAAAGCTTCAAAGCTTCATAAGGCTTCATCTCACCATCACTACATAAAACCAACTTAACTGCCGGCAAACTTTTATAACTTACATTCTACCGGACACCGGTCATGTGATCACGTCACGTGACAATGACGTCACATTCCCCACACATATATAAAGAAGCAGCCTGTCATTACTTGAAGCAAGCATCACGTTGGCCTCTTTCAATCGGAGTGGACACAAGATGGTGAGTTTACCTTCCTGCTTCGTGCGCTCTGAATAGGAATATGTTACACATCTTAAGCATCCGTTGTTTTAATTAAGTTTAGGAACATTGGATTACTTTTATGCAACATGTATACCAATAGAATGGATATATTTGTTTTCATTGTTTCAGTATTTACACTTACACCGGCTGCTTTCAAAATGGCAGTCAATAAAGGCCGCTACTTTATTTATACTTGAGTTATTCCCTTTTTAAACGACATATTCTACAATAATCCTGACGGATGTCAAATCTGGTTTCAATGGATCTTTTCTCCGCACTGTTCGTAACCTGGCTCTTCTTCAGTAGAGCTGTTGGTTCCATTCCAGTGCTATAGAGACCCCATTGAGGCAGGGGAGCAGTGGCTGTCTGTGCTTGCTCCCTGTTCACTCTCTGGAGACATCTGAATCTGAGCCCAATTGTATTTATTAAGTTTAAGAACATTGGTTTTCTTTTACGAAAAATGTATGCCAATAGCATGTATACATATTCGTGTTAAACTGTTTCCGCGTCTTCCTTTTGGTGTCCGACAAGCGTGCACATGTTAAGCTAGCCATGCTAACAGTGTGGTTAACTTTAATTACATTGACCTGTTGGAAGCAGAATATGTGACTCACTTTACTTGCTTTTTTAGGGTGGATTTGTCCACTATGGAGATGTGACCAATGAAGCGTCCTTGGGTTTCGTGAAAGGCGCTATATACATTATTATTATCATGGTCAGTGGCGGCGCCAGAGTATTTGTGTTGGGTCATCTATGGTAGGGCTAACCCATACAGTGGTGGGGCTCAAGTCAGTATTTGTAATGTAATTACATACACGCTATATCGCACCCCTTGACAGTGAAACGCCACGCGTGAGGCTTTTATTAGTCTCCTTTTATCAGCTAAATTACATCGAGAGCAACAGGTGTGAGTTAAACAATACAATAACCTATTCTGCTAATTCCACGTTTTACAACATGCTACGCAGCGGCAGAAACAAGAAAAGTTGGCATATAGAATTGGGAGAGTGAGAGAGAGACACAGGTAAACAGAGAGAGACACAGCACACAACAGGTGGCCTGTGTCTCTATTGTCATACAAAACACTTTTTCAAATGACCCATTATTACAAAATATATTCAAAATTCACTCTTCAGGTGGGTCGTGTGACTCTGGCACCTGTTCGACTTGTACCTCAATGCGAGGGCGTTTAAGAACAAATCTATCCATCCGAAATATACAATTAATCCTAGAAGTTCTGCTGTCTGTCTGCAATTTACTCGGCGCGAGTTTGGGGACTTTTCACTGTGAACGTGACGCATCAGTAATGTATGACGCAGCAGACCCAACGTTTCGTTGCTCTGATTGGCTGTAGTTCTGTTCAAATTGCATTCGGAGGCATTTTGATCTGACCGCAGTCGCGCTGATATTATAAAGCGAGAGAATTTCCACACCTTTAGTGTATAATACTCCCCCACTACTTAGACTATTCCTTGCACCCCTCTAGCATAAGCCCGAATGGTCTCAACCATATTGCATCAGTAACGTGCACTTGTTGTTACAGCAGGATCAGTTTGTGTGTTGTGGACACGACCAGTAGATTTTCGCAATCCGTGTTCTCAACATGCTTACTTTAACATCATCTTTCAAGGTGGGGCTAAGCCATTTCTTGGTTTGGCTGTATCCTACCCCAGCCATACCCTGGCGCCGCCACTGATCATGGTTAAAGGCTGTGTTGTGGGAGTCAAGAAGAGGGTGCTGACTCAGCGCAAGGTAAGGACAAATTGCAATGCTTCATATAAAACACGTTTGACTGTTGAGTGCCCCTGGTATAATTTAACTTGCTGAGGTGGGAGTCAATTATTCTAAAGAATATCTTAAAATAAAATCACTGACTTAGTTCCCAACACAAGTGTTAAACTCTGTATCTTTTTATTTTGTATTCCCAGTCTCTGCTTGTGCAGACCAACCGTCGTGCCATGGAGAAGATCGACCTGAAGTTCATCTACACCACTTCCAAGTTTGGCCGCTTCCAGAGCGTGAAGGAGAAGAAGGCGTTAGTGGTAAGAGTTTGTACTGAAAGCTGTACAAAAGCATACCTTTGCATCACATTTATTTTCTTAGTCTCTAAGACCTTTATACTTATTTGTATGCACATTTTGCCAGCATACCATTTAAGAAGTCTTAATATCAATTAAGAATTTGGAAGCAATTTTATTTTCTCCGCACTGTTCGTAACCTGGCTCTTCTTCAGTAGAGCTGTTGGTTCCATTCCAGTGCTATAGAGACCCCATTGAGGCAGGGGAGCAGTGGCTGTCTGTGCTTGCTCCCTGTTCACTCTCTGGAGACATCTGGCTGCTCTGAGCCCACACATGGACTACATGTGCATCATTCTAAAGTATAGCCAAACAATTGATGGTCTCTTTCTTTGACCACTCAAGAAGGACCGTATCACCATCTTCAGCTCCAGCATAGCAGTGATCAGCAGGAGCAGCTTGGAGTCCACTTCATGCAGTAGCTGTGTCCACAGGGAATCGCCACCGGATCCTTCAGTAGCTCCAGACGGATCGGACAAGAGAAGGTTTCCCGGTCTAGAATGGATATATTTGTTTTAGTATTATTAGAGTATTCGTTGTTCCCGCGTCCCAGGAGAGAAGCTTAAAAGGTAAGAGACAATGGAGTCTCTGAGAAAGGTCAAATTGGTTACTTTAATTAAATGGCGTGGTAATGTAACAAACAGAAGGTAGTCGGGAGAGAGAGGCTGCAGCTCCCTCTCGCAGTCCGGGCCGTGGAAAAGAGAGCGAGACCCGTTAGTTCCTCCCGCTTGGATCTCCCCCTCGCTCCTCCTCTCTGGGGGCTGTGACGTAATCTTCCGCCCTCCTTTCACCAATGTCCGATATCGAGTAAAACAGGATTTAGACGTAGTGTCTTCATTGTATAACTCCACATGCCTCTTCTCCGCATACTGTCGTTCATGACTTTTTATTCCATGCATTTTAACGGCTGCAATCGTTTGTAACACAATGCCGGTAGCCAAGCTTACTGTTGCTATTTCAGAATAGCTTTTCAAAATAAACTTTAGCATCAACGTTAGCCACAGGCGAATGCTAGCTGGAAATGTTTTCACAATAAAACAGTTTTAAGATTACTGTATGTTGAAACTACATTACATCATTAAACATTGATTTCAATTTCTTACAGCAGTTAACTTTAATTACATTGACCTGTATTCTAACGCAGATTTTAAACTTGTCCAGTTATTAGAACGGATTTCTACTTGCTTGCGTTATTCCAAATACGACCATGCTGTATTTCAGACCCTCTATGCTTAATGTTGATCTAGGCCGCACTTATACACAGTTAGCTCTTCGGATGAACCGGCTAACTTGACTCTTTGCTCCCTCCAGTCTCACCGTAAATGTTCGGCTCCCCGCCACGTGTCCCTGGGCTTCTTGCCCCGCAAGAGGAGTCGTCATCGTGGTAAGGCGAAGAGCTTCCCCGAGGATGACCCCACCAAGCCCGTGCACCTGACCGCCTTCCTGGGCTACAAGGCCGGCATGACCCACATCGTCCGCGAGGTCGACCGACCTGGCTCAAGTGAGTGGACTGAGTTTAATTTTAAATGAATTTGCAACTAACTATTATAGATCAATTGTTTGGGCGAAAACAGCCCAGTTTCTGAAAAACAATTGAGATGTCTGTCAGTCCAAAGATTCAGCTGTGATGTAGAAATGGACATTTCCTAATGGAATAGGAGAAAAAAAGCTTTCTGCCCATTGCATAAAATACTCTACTGTGATGACCTCAATACTGCCTGTGATGATCCCCTCGACGGGCGGACATAATGGGTCTTATACCCCTTGCTGAATGTCGAGCACTGAGCGCAGTCTATACCATATCATAAATACTACAGCTGTCATAAGTCGAGGAAAGTTCTTCATATCTAAACTATTGTTTTCTATTGCAGAGGTGAACAAGAAGGAAGTGGTTGAGGCTGTGACCATTCTTGAGACCCCTCCCTTGATTATTGTTGGTTACATCAGCACACCCCTTGGCCTGCGTTCCTTCAAGACTATCTTCGCTGAGCACCTCAGTGAAGAGTGCAAGCGTCGATTCTACAGGAACTGGTGAGTTGCTACAATACATTTAAATGCCTCATTGAAGCAGTTAGTTGCCCAGTGAAAATGATAGACCTGTGTTTTCACTGAGTGAGTCAAACATTGCGGTGCCTCCTGTGGCAGCTCCGCTCAGGTGACATGTGCCCTGATGAGCTCCGGGCTCCTCTGGCCAGTGGAAAGTGCTTCTTAGAAACTGTGCCATGAGCTGAAATCCTTATTGGCTGAGAATGCACCCCTTTCCACATGGATTGGGATGGCAAGCAGCTATGCACTGTGTTCTTCCGCTGGCCCTCTTGGGTTGTGAAGAACCTGTGCCAACCTCTGTGTCTCCTCCTGTGGGGTCTCAGGTACAAGTCCAAGAAGAAGGCCGTCACCAAATACTGCAAGAAATGGCAGGATGATGGGGGCAAGAAGCAGCTGGAGAAGGACTTTGGTTCAGTGTTTCCCATACATTGATTTATTTTTTGGTGGTGGTCTAATGGATAGTGAGGTGGGCTGATGATCGGAAGGTTGCGAGTTCAAATCCTGCCTGGAACACCACTTGCCCTTGAGTAAGGCACTTACTCCAGGGAGAATGTCCCTGTAATTGGTCATTGTAAGTCGCTTTGGAATAAGGCGTCTGCTAAATTGTAAATGATATTTTTGTGAGAATAAACCCCACAGATCCTCAACTCCGGTGTGTCTCACTCATTAACAACGCAACACAGAGCAACAAGAACGTTGTCTGCTACAGTAGCCATGAACTCACATGTATTTTGTTATTTGAGGGGGGGGGGGGGTGGATGCGTGGGCCACCCGAATAGGTTAAGGGGCCTTTGGCTTTTCTTTTTTTGTGCGGTGCCCCACAAATAGAATCAAATTCTGTGGGAAACACTGGTTCCATGAAGAAGTACTGCCAGGTTATCCGCATTGTTGCGACCTGGCTCAAAAGAGACACAACATGTCAACGGGTAGAAAAAGGTGTTTATTTGCACAAACAATTCAAATGAAGTACTGTGTACACTCATCAGAGCCTGCAGGAGAGAGACAAGCAGAGGCTCTAAATAGCTGCAGGACACCTGACCCAGGTGCCCTGAGTTACTGCAATCACTGGAGCCAATGCAGCACAGACAGAACAGCCACACCCTTAAGACGGCCCCAAAGGGGTCCACGACAACCCAACATCCTTCTTCTTAACTCCAGCTTTTTACTTTCCGTCTTAGGACTGGAGGACGCTCCTCCTCCGCCGCTGTCTTCAAACTCCTGCCTTGCGATTTCGTACTGCTTCTTCGCCTCCACTGCCTTTATGTCCCACTCCTCCTTGGGTTGGCTGGCATTGAGCCACAGCATGTAGGTGCTCATTGCACACACAGGTTAGTAAAGCTCATGATTACAATGAGGTGTTCATTTTCCTGCTTGTTGGCCTGTCACCATAAATGCATTTTTTGGACAATGTACTGTCCCAGAAATGACTGGATTAAACGTCATTATCATTTTAAGACCTATTTGTTTTCCACTTTAATACAATGGCATAATAAAACAATTTTTTAAAGACTTTACTTTCTCAAGAATTGTGGTATAATGCAAATCTAAAATATAGGAATCCCCCAATATTGGGCCAAAATGAAAGGTCGATATTGCACGATAAATCCAAGTAATTGTGACGGGCCGACCTGCTTGTCTGTCAGTGATGAGACCACGGATGATTGCACCAGGCATGGTGCCCGATACACATGAGGATACCTTCCAGCTGCCTTCCTTCTGAGACTACAAAGATGTTTCACTTGACATGGAATTATGAATTCCCCCGTTCTGACGTGCATTTTATTTGTTCTGTTTAGATGCGCCTGCTGCCCATTGCGCAGAAGAAGTCTCATCTGATGGAGCTGCAGCTGAACGGAGGCAGCATCTCTGACAAGGTGGACTGGGCCCGTGAGAAGCTGGAACAGGCCGTGCCTGTTAACAACGTCTTCACCCAGGACGAGATGATCGATGTTATTGGCATCACCAAGGGTGTCACCAGCCGTTGGCACACAAAGAAGCTTCCTCGCAAGACCATCGTGGTCAGCGTAAGTGTTACGTTCCCTTCTAAATCTAGGGGGGTACAAAGGGAAGTAACCACACACAAGGATGACCAAGCACGACAAAAAAAGGAGAGAAAACCGATCTCTTAGTAACGCACCAGTCGTTTAATGACCAAAAAAGAAACACGGGCTCACCAGCCAATTTGCACAGAATTATACAGCATCGATTATAGCACGGAGCTCCCCTCCTATCAAATGGCAACACACAGGTCTGCACACATGCAGCCAGAGGAGGAAAAACGGAGAGCCCACTGCAGTCTTCCTCCGGGCCTATATGGAGGCCCTGATTAGGAATTCGGAGCACCTGGGGAGAGGCTGCACCTGGGGACAATCAGGCTGCACCTGGGGACAATCAGGCTGCACCTGGGGGGAATCAGAGGGCGAGAGAGAGAAACACACATACACGACCACACAAACACTACGGCACGTAACACTTCCCCCCCATAAAACCAAACCAGTGTTTGGTCACAGTTACCAACAACACTCATTACATATTTCACAAGCATGCTTGGAAGCTGCCACCTGCTGCTTCCAAGCTACACACTCCGCCACTAAATGACCAGGGTCAAGACAATAAACACAATCGCTTAGTGTCGGGACCTGGGAGAGAAACAGAATGAGCACGTGTGACACGTCTGTTACGAGCCCTACAGTGAGGATATTTGCCCTGAGGATACACCTTACGCCCGGCTATATCATTACCCATTATGACATCCACACCGTCGACAGGACATTTGGGGAGCACAGCAACTGGAAAGTAACCAGTAGCCAGTTCAGACTGGACATGGACATTGTGAAGAGGTACAGGCACAAAACCATTTCAATACCTCTTACCACCATATTCGCATCACAGGCAGACTCATTACTCAAGGGCAGGGCACTCGCAAGAATGAACGACTGTGAGCCACCACTGTCTCGTAACATAGTAACCTGCCGCTGATCCTCCACCTTCCCTGACAGAAAGACAAAAGCAGTGGAGATGAACGGTTTAAAACACTCATCAGGGCCCATTTTAACAGTGGCCTGCCTACTAGGACACTCTGTTTTAATCAAGCCCACCCCTTTTGGGTGCTTGTCACCTGTTGCCCGCTCTCGCTTCCAAGCTGCACAGTCTGCTATCACATGACCTGGGTCAAGACAAAAATAACAAGCTCTGTCTATCCTGGGACCTAACAATGGAACTCTGGCACAGGGAACATAATTGTCAGGAGCTCTATTATAAGTGTCCCGCTGAGGAGGATCACGCTGAAAGAAAACGCTCTTGTGTATCAGCGCAAACTCGTCTGCCAGAGTGGCCGCCTGCTGAAGGGTAGTCACTTTCTACTCATTCAGATAGACTACCGTACGCTCCGGTACACAGTTTTTAAACTCCTCCAACATCATCAGCTCACACACTGAAGCAATGTCATCCGCTTTACACGCTCTACACCACCTGTCAAAGAGGGCTTTCTTCTCCCTCGCGAAGTCCACGTACGTTTGGCCAGAAGCTTTCTTCATGCCGCGAAAACGCTGCCTGTAGGCCTCAGGCACAAGCTCATATGCCCTGAGAATAGCACCTTTAACCTTCTCATACACCAAACTATCCTCGACTGAAAGAGAAGAGCAAGCCTCTTGAGCCTTGCCGACTAGCTTGCACTGTAAAAGAATAGCCCACACATCTTCTGGCCAGTGCAGAGCAGCAGCAATGCGCTCAAATGCACCAAAATAGACATCGACCTCTGATTCACGAAACACAGGGACCAAAGAAATATGCCTGCTCACGTCAAAGGAAGCAGCAGGACCAGAAGGTGTAACTGCAGGATCACCCACCACAGCTGCTTGGAGCTCTAGCTGACGCATCCGGACAGCAGTGTCTGCCTCCAGCTCCTGCTTCCTGATCTCCAGCTCCTGCTTCCTGATCTCCAGCTCCTGCTTCCTGATCTCCAGCTCCTGCTTCCTGATCTCCAGCTCCCTCCTGAGCTGAAAATCTCTATCTCGCTCCTCCCTCTCACACTGGAGACGAGCCATACGCACTTTTACCCTAGCATCTAATTTAGACCCCCGTAGGTGAGGATCCTGCCGAGAACGAGCCAAATTGAGGTGTGGTGAAAAGTTTTGCCCGTTCCGTAGCACTCTGAACACCAGGAGTAACACCAATGCGGCCTCCACCCTGAGATACTGCTGCTACAGCCCCGGCCACCGCGCCAGGAGATTCCACTGAAGTAGGCCGACTCAAAACCCCCTGTTCAACTAGTCCAGTTATCAAAGTAGCCTTTAGTTCACTTTTAACAAGAGCAGAGGAGACAGAAACGTGATAATGTTCAGCAACTAACCGCAAATCAACCTTCCTACAGCAGTCTAGCTGACCCACAGTAGGACTGGCCACAAACTGCTCCCAAACAAAAGCCATCCTTAGCAACGGCTACTTATAAATATATTTATGATTACAATTTTTTTTTTTTTTTAAACTTCCCCAGATCCTGCCTACCAAACTTACCTAACTATCTTCTGGGGCGTGCCGGGCTCGAGGCGACTTTAAAGGCAAACATCAGCGGCCGAAACCCTGAATCGCCTGCCCCCAACAGGGAATAAATCCCCACCCAGGATTACCCCGAAAATAAAAAAGGCAAAATAAAAAGAGTGCCTGAAGGAAGGACTGATTCAGCCCAGCGAGACACTCCCCTGTCTAAACTGAGGAAGTCAATGCTACCAAACACAATATCAACACTAAACCACAAACAACTACTCACTATTTTTCTGAAAGATTGGACGAGCCCCCATGTTACGTTCCCTTCTAAATCTAGGGGGGTACAAAGGGAAGTAACCACACACAAGGATGACCAAGCACGACAAAAAAAGGAGAGAAAACCGATCTCTTAGTAACGCACCAGTCGTTTAATGACCAAAAAAGAAACACGGGCTCACCAGCCAATTTGCACAGAATTATACAGCATCGATTATAGCACGGAGCTCCCCTCCTATCAAATGGCAACACACAGGTCTGCACACATGCAGCCAGAGGAGGAAAAACGGAGAGCCCACTGCAGTCTTCCTCCGGGCCTATATGGAGGCCCTGATTAGGAATTCGGAGCACCTGGGGAGAGGCTGCACCTGGGGACAATCAGGCTGCACCTGCGGAATCAGAGGGAGAGAGAGAGAAACACACATACACGACCACACAAACACTACGGCACGTAACAGTAAGGTTGCCTGTATTGGTGCCTGGCATCCTTCCCGTGTTGCCTTCTCTGTGGCCCGTGCTGGTCAGAAGGGTTACCACCACCGCTAGGGATGCATATCGTTGACTTTTTTACGATACCGATACCACTGAACGATACGATACGATACATATCGTGATACTTTGAAAATGTATCATCCCACAATTAGTCCCATGAAGCGCTTTACGATATAGTGAACATGTCAAATGAATATTCAATTGTGGGATGTTACGGTTGCTGTTTGTCTGCTCCTTAATCTGTCTGGGATTGTTTGCAGCTGTGTGCGTGTGATTATGCAAATGAGCTGTGTGGTAGCCCCAACATCATTGGCTGCCCATCTCCTGGTCCGCCTCTGAAGATGGTGATTGGATCGACGTCGTCCAATCGCAGCGCACAGCCGGCGCACACCTGCTGGGGAGGAGTATAAAGGCTGCAGACTATCACCACTCTGGAGGCTCTGACATGTGGACAGACGCCTCTCGCTACTTGCTCTTATAGAATTCTGTTAACTGTGGTTAAACTTGTGTGATTAGTAGTGTCTAGAGTAGCTTAGTTATTGTTTAGAGTAGCTTAGGATTTTGTGACTGTTGCCTTTTAGTTTAGCTGTGTTTTGTATATATTTCCTGTGTTAGTCTGTACCACTTTTAAAGTGAGGTTTTGTTTCGTTCTTTATTTAGCATATCAGTATTTATTTTCCCTGTATGCCTTGACTCTTGAGTCCTCCCTTAGTTCGGTTATCTGTCAACCTGTGCCCTTTTGGCCCTTTTGTTTGTTTCAGGCTGCACGCCTTCCATTTTGTTTACCGCTGCTATTATAAATAAATCACTTATAATTATACCAATTCTACTCTGGTCGTGTCGTTTCCCTTTTGTTCCCCTAGCCAATTGGGAACGTAACATTGGACTTCTTGGACCTTTTAGTACTGAATAAAAAATATGAAGAAAACCGATTATGGAATATCTTTTATAACATCCGCCATCAGGTGTGAATAGCACATCTTGTCAATGCAAACAGACCGTTATAGCACCGTTATAATTAATGTTAAACCTGAGATTCGACT